ATAAAAAAAGAAATGCTTTAAAAAAAAATTTAAATTAATTTGAAACAATTTATAACAAGCGAGAAAAACATTTTAGTAAACTTGAGTAACAAATAAAATGTTAAGGATAATAATTTCAACAAGTTTGAAAAACACTTTAATAGAAAAAATGAAACAAATTAGGAAGCTTTATTAAACTATATAAAATACATTTTTAAACCATCTTTTGATGAACTGCTGCAATATAGTTTAACAAAGAATGTGTCAAGCATGCTGCTACTAAATTTTATTGATATTGTATTCTTAGAAGGATTTTATAGATTTTATTTCATATTTTGTTATGTTTATTTGTTTGTTATGTTTAGATTTTATTTCATATTTTGTTAAAACAACTAAAAAAGTAATGGATTGACACAGTAACATCTGATATTTTTATGATTTTTTAATATAGAAAATCAACTTTTAATTTGTGAGTCTACTTAAGTTCATTTGGTAAAAAATCTGGTTTAATCTAAAGACACCTAATTGTTAAAAACATAGTCTTCGATTTCACATAAAGATCTTGATTTCACATAAAGATCTTGTCATTTTGAAGGTAAAATCTGTATTAAATAAAAGTTAAAAAATCAATAATTCTAACTGATTATTGCAGTAATCATAATATTATTGCAGTAATTATAGTATATTCTGATCACTTGTATAAAATGAAACATATACTGAGCACGTGAACAAAATGGAACATATCTTGTGATTCTAATAGAACAATAACAAAGATTTAAAGTGATTTTGTTAAGTGATTTAATTAAAAGTTATTTTGTGCATTAAATTGGTTTTGCAACGTAAGAGCTCTGCTGATGGATTTAAAGACAAAAAAGAACTTATTTTATGCTGGTATAATGATCTAGCTATGGAACAATCACTTTTTATTAAACTAAAAACACATTATTTCTACTTAAATTGCATCAGATAACAATTGTCTCCTTTATTTCTCTAAAAAAGATAATTGAAATTGAATATCAAAAAAAGTAAATTAATGCATCTAGAATCAACGAATATGATGGCTCGGTCAAACTAAATAGTTTCATTTATTTATTTAATTAATTTCATTTACTTAAGAAAAGTCTAAAGTTAAAAAACATCTAGGTTTTCTTTTGATTGTAAACTGATTTTCCATGTTAACGTGACTTCATAGGAAAGTTGTTGATATAAATAAAAAATTATTCACATATTTATATGCTTCGTTATTCAGAAACTTATTTATCTCTCTAGTTTGCCTGTACTTCCGCTTAATTGAAGTAGTTATTGGTAAAATATAGTTTGTTTAAATATTGTTTATTTTATATAAAACTAAATGTCATACTCTCAAGTCAATATGTAATTAATGATAATTACGTAAATATGGTGTAATATATAATTACATAAATATGGTGTCATACTCTCAAGTCAATATGTAATTAATGATAATTATGTGATAATGGTGTATTATACAATTAAAATTGTTTTCTTAGATGTATGTACTAAAGCTCTCATGGATATTTCATTAGAACTTCATCTTCAGCTTTGTATTTGATATTTGTATAAAGCCTGGCTTTATACAAACAAATGTTTATAAATATATCTTTTTTTTGTTGTGTTGTTTTGTTGTGTATGTACTAAAGCTCTCATGGATATTTCATTAGAACTTCATCTTCAGCTTTGTATTTGATATTTGTATAAAGCCTGGCTTTATACAAACAAATATTTATAAATATATCTTTTTTTTGTTGTTGTTGAGAGAAGGATTGTTATTGTTTCATAATAAAAAACATTATTTTCTATTTTCTCAAAAATTTCTAAATGCATAAGAGGAAAACAGACATTTTCTGTTGACTAAATTTTTTCCACTTTGTCTACGTACACAAAGTTTTCACAAAAATAAGACCCCACCCCTCTTTAAAAATTCATTAAACATCAAAACTATTAGCTAATTTGCCATTATTTTTGTATGTGATAAAAAAAAGTGGGTACATATTATCAAATGGAAAGAAAATTGATTGGAGCTGTTAATGGTAATGTGAAACAAATGGTAATTTACATCATCTTTAAAATTAAAAAAAAAAATTCAAAACTTTATTTGTCATTTATAAAGTAGAATAACCTAGTCAAACAAGTGTTTGCTAAATTTTTCTTCTATACCCTTAAAACTATTTACCTGTGTTCTGAAACTTTTTTGACTACTAGAAAGCAGCATTTATCATTTTTTAATTGAATAACTACAGAGAATCGCTTCCATTATAATTTTTGCCTTATAAATATTGTCTTTCTTACTACTATTAGAAAAGTCTTTAAGCCATTAACTAGTAACATTGTTTAACAAAACCTCATAAATCTAATATACTGTCATTCAATGCCATTTTGCTCTAATGCTGATTTGTTTAACTGTAACAAGGATAAGATAATATCTCTATATCTATCTACAACTTAGATAGATATAGAGAGGAAAAGTACCTTTTGATATGTTGTCACAAGAAAAGTTTATCAAATTATTGAATCTTTAATAACAGTCTTTGACTTTTTCATTTTACACATTATTCTTTATAATTTGCAATAACCTATAGGATACTATGAGGTTCTATACTGCAGTTGTATTTTTTTACAACTTTGATAAAATTCCAGCTGCATTTATGATTGCTTAAATGAGGGAATTAATCCTAGTGCCTTGTATAGCAGATCTGCTACATAACTTCAAAAACTTATAACAGCCGCCCAGTTAATACAGTGATTTTAAAAAAACCCATTGTATCATATTTACAACATATTTTTGTTGATCCAAATTAGTCAGGTTCATGCAATTGGATATTTTAGGCAAAAAAATACATCAAAATTGTATTTTTGAAAATACAAGGGATCTTTTAAGTAGTTTTTTGTATATGAGACTTTTTTATTTATTTTTTCATAAATTGATAACATATAAAGGTTTTATGAGCTTATAAATGAGTTCTCTCTATATTATACATGCTACAAAGGGCTTTTTAGTATATAATATAAACAAATAATAACTGCTTTAGGAAAAGAATCGAAAAAACAAGGAGATAGATTATTTGACCACAGTACTGACACTAATTCTAATAAAGTAGTTGTTTGTTGGATATATAAGCCAATTACCTATCTATTAGACGAAAATATTTATTTTCACCTTTTGCTAGTTTTGAACCAATTAACTAAGAGAGGCATTTGGATAGAAAATAATGAAAATATTTTATGGTAAACAACTGCATAGTATGATTAAATAGTATGATTGTTTTACGATAACATATTTGACAAAGAGTTTGAGTTGACAAAATAGATATGATTTGCTCATTCAACAAACCAATTTTGAAATGCCATAGAAAGTACAAATATATATATGATAGGTTTGATGGTACATATACAATTAATAGATAAGTAATTGGCTTATCTATATCTTTTTTATTTCCCCAGTAAAAATTACATGCCTCTAAAAAAGTTTCAAGCTAAAATAGCATCTTGCTTAGTAGCTGTTGTAAAAAGAAAAGCTGGAAGACTATCCCTTGATGCAACACCTATTTTAACCAAAAGAGCTGCTGCTGTTCAGAGATAATTGATTTGACCACTTATCAGTTTATAATGACAAGTGTCAAAATTATGGCAGTGCTGTAAGAAACTGGTTGTTTTTACATTTGTTGCAAGAAGTGCAAAAAGACAGAAATTGCTATTATGACAACAATTAAAGACATTTATGATTTGTTAATACAAACTATTTTTTACTGTCATATAAGCTATGTATATATTGTACATGTTTTTTATTTGATTAAAGAGAATTTGTCAATAATAAAGTTTCATTTTCCTGTAAATTTTTTTTTATTTTTTCTTCTAACAATTTTAATTTTGAAAAGAATTTTTTATTCAAGTAAACTATATCTATAAATTTATTCCTCTTATTCCCATTGGAGAAGATAAGCTGCAATTAAATAACTGGATTTGCTAATGAGATGTTTAATTTTTTTTTTTTTTTTTTTTTTTTTTTTTTGTCAAATAAAGGCCCTAAAACAATTGCTTTTTGAATTTTTTAGAATTTTTTGAAAAACCTAAATTTTAGATACATAAATACTAAATATTACACAAACTTTAAAATTGTTCAGTTGCTTTTATTTATTTTTGTTCTACTATACATGACGTCTTTCATAATTTAAAAAAGAATACAATTTATGTTTAAAAATTTTAAACATTTAAAAATTCATTAAGGAAAAAATTCAAATTTAAAATTATTTCCTTATCATTTAAAATTAAAATTATAAATAATTATATTTTATGTATAAATAAATAACTTTCTATTGTAACGAGTTAATCTGAAAAACTTTACTATAGACATTACTTGACCAAACTTTTAGGATACTTTGTTGTAACGTTAAAAATATATAAAACACAAAATGCAAAGTAGAATATTTATCAATTGCATATTTAAAACTTACATATTTATCTTTCTTTGAACGATGCATACTTTTTTTTTTTTTAATTGAAATTAAAAGTAATATAAAAAATAGTCATAACGATCTATACTTTGAAAATAGAAATGTGGTGACAATTCTTTTTTTTTTTTTATTTAATGTAACGGTTCCAATGTTTACATTTTACGAGAACCGACCAATTGAACAACTTTTTTTTACAAAACACACCAATCGTACAAGATTCGAGCTTTAACATAAAAATCTGCGGTTACTTTGATTTTTTATTTATTAAATAAAATATTTATTGAATAAAAACTCTGTTATAGAGTTTCATTTTTTTAATGTAACGTGTTTGCTAAAATTTATGTTAAATTCAAATTAAATAAATACTACTTGAAACTTAGTTTATTATATTAAATTCGTATAAAAAAAAGAAAACCAAAACGTTAAAATAAAAAGAAATTTTACTAAAATATAACACTAAATTTTTTAGTAATCTAATTACTAATTGCGATATTAATAAATTCTTCGTAAAAATTAAAATTTTGCATAATTTTCTAAATGACCTTTTATATATGTATTTAGAAATATCAAGAAACAGAGGACGTTTTATTGATGATTGTGCGATTTGTGGTTATTAAAAATAAAATAGTTTGGCAGTTCTTTTTATCGTTATTTTTATTTGACATCTCAGGTAATAGAATATTATTTTACTTTGATTTATCTTTACATTGTCAGTCGAAATCAAACTTAATATGTTGAAATGAATTAAACATAATTGCATTAAAATTTAATGAGTATATATATTTTTGTTTTTATTTCCAAAAAACGTTTATACTATACGCAGAGCCGAACCGACGTAGTGGTGTTTGGAGTGGAGACCTCCAGATTTAAAATATTCTGTCGTAGATTCGTAGATTTTCAAAACGTAAGGTCAAAAACGAAATTTGGCATCATGAAAAAAAGTAAAAGTTATGAAGCGTACTATGAAAAAGTTATAAGCGTACTTCTACATATTTCATTTAAAACAAACTGTTTTTCAAAAACTGTTGGTTGAACTGAATAAAACCTAGAAAAAGTTGTTCTAAATGAAAACAAATTTTATTGAAGATAATGTGACGATAATTGTCTTTTAACACAAAAAAAAAAAACATATTTAAAAAAGTAGTGGGTAAAATCATCAAGCTTTTCTAGTAATTTACAACCTAAAAGGAATCGATATTGTATTCTATCACTGATCCGTAATTTTTTTTTGATGGTCAGCCAGAAAATCCGACGATTTTTAATGACGAACACCTAAACGTCGAGAATTCGGTAATATTTTGCGATTTTGTTTTTAAAGGTTTTTTGATAGCAGGAAAAACAGTATTGTTAATGCCGAATGGAATAATATATGTAATAAACAAAATGAACTGTGATGTTGTGCTTTTATTTACAGCCAATTATATATATATATATATATATATATATATATATATATATATATATATATATATATATATATATATATATATATATATATATATATATATATATATATATATATATATATATATATATATATATATATATATATATATATATATATATATATATATGATTTAAATATTGACATCTTGTAGGAGAGTATATATGTTAAAAATATAAAAACATCAATTAATACGAGTTCTCTTAATATTATTGTTAATAATTGTTCACCTCCCCTCTCCCCTCCTGCCTTTCCAACTTAATGTTGATAAAAGTTTTAAATGTAATTTTAACAAATTTAAATTGATATTATTTAAAATAAGAGAAATGAATATTACAAGAACGTAAGCCAGAGCATCAAAATCAAATATCAAAAAAGTCACACTACATCCAGATATCTTTCTGCAAGTCGCACCATTTACGGCATCTAATTTGAAAGTTTCACCAATTGCGGCACTTAATTTGCAAATCAAACAAAGACAATTGCCACAATAGGTTGAAATGATACGTCGTGGTAGTCTGTTAGTGTTAAAAAAACTAACAATTCCTTTTAGATCACTTGATTTGTCTTTAAACCTCATTTTGTTCATAGCCAAAACAATTTTGTCTGTTTACAACCATTACCAAATAACTCACAATTTTCAGTTTCTAGAGATTTCAACACTGAACGACATGAAATGGTGAATGTATCAAGAGGGTGCAAATGGCAATTTGGCTCATTCAGATTTTTGCCCCAGGTTTCACAAATTTTGTTTATGGTAAGATTTACTACGACTCTGTCATACATTATGTTGAATGTGTTTGAGGTGATTTAACTCAACAACCCTCAAAGGAGATCAAGTAAAAGTCTTATTAAACTGAAGCCATATAATCCACTTCCTTACATATTTAGTTTTCAGCTGTTTTTTAAATGTAAAAAGCTTATAACAATTGGCAAGCTGTTGCATCTCGGAACTAAACGGTAAAATTTAGCGAGATTGACAAAACAAAACGGAACAATTTATCGTTTTGGAAGAAATTCGTTTACTTTTTAATTTAAAGTTCTCATTTCGTTATAACGATACATAAAAAATCTAATCTCGCTTCATTTTGAGACAAAACGAGATTTTATTAAAAAACTTCTAATTCATTAGCTGTATCAAATTTATTGAAAAACTTTCATTAAATTTGGAGTACAAGAACGATAGTGAGACAGAATGGGACAATTATATGTCTATGAATAGATTAACTACAGAAAAATGGTGCCATTCATTAAAATGGTGGAAAAATAAGAAATATGTATTTTTTTTACTGGCAGAACAAGCTTGACGTTGGTTGTGCATACTCATCTCCTCTACAACCTCTGAAAGAGTCTTCTCAGCAGGTCGGCAAAACGTTACAACTAAACAAACAAAGCTTCAACCTGAGTCTGTTGACAAGTTGATTTACATCCAGCAGAACTTCGATCAGGTAAATAAAATTAAAAAAGAATTTACAAAAAATTAAAAAATAAATCGTAATTTCGCAGCGAGATAGTATATTTCTTAAAAACACTTTTTTAAGTTTTCACGGCCAAATGTTAACAAACCACGGCGTTAACTTTTGTTCAAAAATCTCCCGATTGCCAGTTTGCGCGTGCTTTCACACACTGATCTCAAAATAATAACTGGATAGCGCATTCGGAAAAATTTTTGAAGCCAGTTTTGGCCTACCAAGATGGCGGCATAGTTTGCCAACGGTTATAGAAGTACCGTTTAAAAAATCAAAAAACCTTAAGCGTAATCGATAAAGATAAAATTTTAAACACAAATAAGGTTTTTTTTTAAAAAAACAATTTTTAAAAATAAAAGTAGGTATATATATATAATATATATATATATATATATATATATATATATATATATATATATATATATATATATATATATATATATATACATTGCTTAATATAAATATTATATATATATAATATATATATATTAGGAAAAATAATATTTATATTATGCAATATATATATATTTTTTATAAATATGTATAAATTTATTTTATTATAAGATAAATAAAATCCTTCAAAAAAATTTAATAACCAATTTATGTACCTTTTAGTTCTTAATTATCTTATGCTGTGTGCTAGAAGGTTAATAACACAACTGCATGATAGGCAGCTTAGTATCTGTTTAATATGAATCAGTCTTAAAAAAAAATTGTTTTAAACAGATACTTGTAATGTATATATGCTGCATGAACTATTAGCTCAGCTCTGTGAGTACACGCAACTCAGAGGTTCCTTCTAGAGTTTGTTATCATTAATTATTTTAGTTTAATTTTAATAGATTTTTCTTTTAATACAAATAAATATACTAACTATATACACACACATAAATATACTCACCTAGTACATTTAAGTGAGTATATATATATATATATATATATATATATATATATATATATATATATATATATATATATATATATATATATATATATATATATATATAAATGTTTGTATGTATATTATATATATGCATATATAACTCCTGATAAGTCGTAACCTTTAAGTGTCCAAGGAAATACTGGAAGTTCAATTTTTTAAAGGTTTGAGTTATCAGGAGTTTACTGTGTATATATCGATGACATAGTGCACAGATGTGGTAAGTGCAAGATTAAAACTGTAGAAACTGTCATTTGTGCACGTAATTATAATAAGAAGAGTTGTTGTATTTACCACATATTGTCAATTATTAGACTCTTTATCGTTTATCCTACACATACCATATTTATTCACAATAAACTATAAATAAAAACAGGTTTTTCTGCGTACTTATCTCAATTTGACCAAAATTTGTACTTACCATATCTGTGCACTAAAATGGTATACTAAAAACAAATGTTTTCATTGATTTTTGAATAAGACAAATTTAATCAACTGCTTCCTAAACTTTTTTCCAGTCAATTTGTTAGTTACTTCTTTGCATTGGTGATGAAAGTGTATTTTTCAGTAATTTTTTGAAATAACTTTAATCAGTGAGAATAAATGCATATCAGTTAAAGACGAATCTAGCATATGATGAGTTAGTTCTGTGAATACTTTTGATATATCAACTGATCTCAAAACAACACTTGCATTTGCATTTTTAATTCCTATATCATTAGGGAGGGTAATATTTGTTGATGTAAGAAACCTTTGGAAACATCTTTCTGTTCCTTCGCATACCAAAACAACACTTTTGCTTGGTTTAACTAAACCTCCTCTAGATAATTTATTCTCAATAAAATGTAACATACATATGTTACATCTTTACATACTATGTATGTGCTAAACTGTCAATAATTATCCTTCAAACTTTGAGGAATAATTATTTACAGTTGAGTTTGACAAGAGTTAGACTTTAAATCTAAGTCATTGAGAGATAATTTTTTACTTTGGAATATAAATATTGTTTTATATTTTCACTGAATATTGAGTCCAGAAAGTTAATGCATTAAATAATAAAATGACTTTTATAATCCTAGAAGGAACCTCTGAGTTGTGTGTACTCACAGTTCTCAGCTAATAGTTCATACAGCATTGGTACAATAATGTTTCTACCTACAAAACTCATGATTTTAAAATTCTTTAAAGATTGTAGGTAGACATCTTGCTGCTTACCATACAGTTGTGTTATTAACCTTTTAGCACACAGCATTGGGTAATTAAGAACTAAAAGGTACATAAATTATAAACCTCATTTAAAAAGTGTATACTAGCTGAATATTTTAATAATTAGGAATCAAATAAATTTATTTCGCCATTTTATTTTCCTTAAAAATAGTTTACTTTTCTTATTCGGTCAGAATTTTTATACGATTCAAACCGCTAACAGTTCTAACCGACGCCATCTTGGTAGGCCAAAATTGGCTTCAACTTTTTTTACGAAAAACAATAGAATACGCTATCCAGTTATTATTTTGAGATCAGTGGTTTTCACACTTACTGTCATAGTAAATAGAAACCATGCAAAATAACAGTAAAATTTTAAAAGACTAATCAATATCAAAAGATTTTGCGAGTGGTTTCTATCGGTACAGACATTTTGCGCTAATAAAAATTAATTATTAAAAATCTAAGAATCTATATGTAAAATAATTTTTTAAACTTAAAATTTTGTATAACACCAAAATTTAAATCCAAAAATCTCCAAAAATAATTTAAAGAAATTATGAAATACAAGTAATCTGATTAGTAAATAAAATAAAGGGAAAATTCTTTAAAGAAAATGCTGCTATAAAAATTAATTTAATTGGTTTGTAGTTCTTTTGATTTCGTTGCAAGAAAGTAAGACGTCAGGTACAGCCTGCCAATACCTAAAAAACAAAAATAAAATTTTACTACTGTCCTATCAATTTATCATACATGTTCTATTTTCATCCAATTTGTAAATTCTATTTTATAAATTTACACACACTGTAATTTGCATAGCTTTTTGAACAGCCAAGCTTTAGATGTATTGTGGATTAAATAGGTAACCCCAACTTAATCTTAAACTAATAGAATAATTTATTCTTAAACCAATATAATAACTTAACCTTAACCAATAGAACTACTATATATATCTAAACCTTAATTTATTAAAAAAAAGAAATAGCATAACATAAGGAAAGATGCCATTTTATTGATAGTTTTTACAGGTAATATTTTCAAAAACTAATAGAAATAAATTTTGAATATCTTATCTTTTTTATGAAGGTTATATAAAAATTGACATATAATCAAAATGAAAAAGGATTTTCAGAAATAAAATGAAGCCAAAAAATTTGTTGCTTGTACATTCTTTTTGATGTTTGTCAGCATAATTTTTTAATAAAAAGTCATAAAACTGAGCAACCTTGCAAGTCATTACATCTCTGATACCTATTTTGAAATTCACAATACTTGAAGTAATCTTTTTGTGACATACAAATCCTGAGTCCTTTTAATACTCCGCATCCCTAC